CCTCTGTGCCCAGCGGCGCCCGCCGGCGGCCCAGAGGCTGTTTGTTTTTTTTAACGGGGTTAACCAAACCTCCCGGGCAGCCCGCGGCTCAGCAGAAGCCCTGCCGGTGAAAGCGGGCTTTGTGCGAAGGTGGCGGAGGGCGAGGACCCAGCCGAGGCTGGAGCAGCGGGCCAAGGAAGGCGTCCTGGGCGCGCCGACCCGGCCCGGCCGCAGGAGCCGGCACGCGGGAGGCACATCTTCTCCCAGACCTTCCTGCCCTCCCCCCGGGCCTTGATCCTGTGAATGTGCAAGCTGCGGGCTCTGCCTCTGCGAGGGGAGTGAATGTGGCCCCAGTGCCGGGAGGGCGGGCGCGGGAGTGGAGAGGCAGGGACCCACCACGCAATGCCAGCCAGGAGCGCCAGGAGCTCCGCCCCCTGGCTCAGCCCAGGCCCACGCCATCAGAAAATCTGAGATTTAACTGGCTCCGTGAGTGACGATGACAACCAAAGTTTGAGAACTGCCGACTCCTGATCTACTAGAGAAATACTCCGGCTGCAAAATGCGATCAATGAGTATTTCCACTCACTGGAAATTAAGCTCATCAGCAACTTGGAAATTAAATTCACCTACTAGATCGTGATGGAGAAAACTACTGTACTCATACAGTAACAGGCATGTTCTGTATGAGAAGTCACTCCGAGGTCTACACAGCCTGTGGCGTGGTGTCTGTGACTTAGCAATCTGCGCAGGCCGAGCGGGAAAGCCTGCAGCCCGCGGGAAACACACTCCCTTCGCTGTAATACTCTGGAGTTCCCTGACGCATGTGTCCCTCGTTCCAGGAAAACATTCTGCATAACTTGTTTATCGCCCAGACATACCTTAAGCGCCTCCAGTCACCATCTTGTTTTTCTCCACTGGATCTGCACACCTGCCCCACCAATGCTGCGGGATGGACACCGGGTTTACTGCCCGCGCTGGCTGAGCCTGCTGCACAGAATCTCCTTCCGTAACTGTGAGGAAAAGCCACTGATTTCAGGCTTCTCGAGAACACCTGAAAATTCAGTAAGTGACGGAGGTGGACAACCTGCAGGGAGGGAGAGAGTGATCTAACTCAGAAGAACCGCAGGAGATTCTCGCCATGCCCCTGCAGGCCCGCCTTCTTCAGAAGCCCCTGCCTCGCCTTCCTATGCTTTTCTAGACACCCACCACCCACCTGTTCAGTCTTTCAATGAACAAATGTTTTCTGCTACCCACCAAATGCTTGGCACCATGGAGACACAATAAGCAAACAATAAATACAGACTGTAATACTGCGTAGATAGGGTGATATGACAGAGGGTAATCAGAAGGAAATTTTTGAGGAGAGTTTCAAGCTAAGAATTGGAAGGTGAGCCTACCAGATGAAGAGTTGAGGAAGAGTGCTCCAGGTAGTGGAGACAGCATGTGCAAAGGCCCTGAGGCAGGCATGAGCTTGTCAGGGTTGAAGAACTGGAAACAGGTCACTGTGGGGGAGGAGAGGAGAAGAGATAAAGTAGAAGAGAGAGGTGAGGTCCGATCATGGAGAGCTCTGAAAGTGCGAGCAGGTTTTATTAAATGTAATGGGAAGCCATTGGAAGGTTTGTTTGTTTGTTTTAAAGAGATTTTTGCTATAGGGTGCATGTGCTCACCAGAGCGACAGAAAGCAAGAAATCATTCCCCAGGAGGGATGGCCATGCCGCAATCCCTTCTCCATTCTCCTCTTGGGATTTTGGGCAGATACACACACACACACACGTGGTGCGAGTTTTAAGCTGCTGGGCCCAGGATTCAAACTGCGGTTGACCATGTGAGAGTCTACTGATGTAACCATCACACCATCTGCTGGTCCCTCCATTGGAAGGTTTTAAACAGACATCTTTTTTTTTTTAATTGCCAGAGGGGTGTGTATGCTTGCCAGAGAGAGAGAGAGAGACAGAGACACAGACGGAGAGAAAGAGGGAGAAAGCACCCCCAACAGGGCAGGGTCATGCCACAGTCCTTTCTCCGTTTCCCTACCCAGTCAGGATGTGGGCCAGGCACACACCATGCCCAGCGCTTTCCAAGGACAGGTTTGGATGTGGACCATGGCCAACCCGGTGGGACCCAGCTCCCTCACCTGCTAAGCTGTGGAGCCAGCCCTCGTAAGCAGATGCTTTGATGACAGCTGGGTCTGGGGTAGAGAACAGGCCTTCTATTTGGGAAGGCGTCAAAGAAAAACCAGGAGACCCAGAGACGGAAGGCAGACAGTCATGGGGTGGGCAGTGGTGAAGCCGAGGGTCCCGGGAGAGGTCTCTCTGGGCAGCAGGAGTTAGGCAGGCCCTGTAGGCCAAGGAGAGCTGGGTCCCTAATGATGGGCCCTGGAGGACCAGGGAGGAATAGAAACCAGAGCACTTCTCCCGCGAGAGGGTCATTTCCCTTCCAGGGGACCACACCAGGATCTGGGAAGTTTCAGCTTCCTGATTCTGGGGCCATGTGTTATGGAATTTGGAGAAAGAAAGTGACAGTATTGGTGAGACGAACTCAGCCCCTTTCAGGGTCATCCTCAGCCCCTCCTCGGGGATGGGGATTTCAACCCCAGTTCAGAAGTGCAAGCGCTCCTCCACCCCTGCCCTAGAACGAAACTCTACTTCTCCATTCCCACCTGGCCCCCGGCTGGGCGTGCACTCTGAGAAGCCTGGGGCTCCTCTTTGCACCTCATAGGGCCTATGAGGTTGGGGTTCAGTGGCACGGAGGACTCCTGCCATAGACGTGCCAAACAGTAGCAGCTCGCCTGCAGCTGAGGGGTGGGAGCTGGGAGCTGAGGCCTTTTGAGCTTGTCAGGGTTGAAGAACTGGAAACAGGTCACTGTGGGGGAGGAGAGGAGAAGAGATAAAGTAGAAGAGAGAGGTGAGGTCCGATCATGGAGAGCTCTGAAAGTGCGAGCAGGTTTTATTAAATGTAATGGGAAGCCATTGGAAGGTTTGTTTGTTTGTTTTAAAGAGATTTTTGCTATAGGGTGCATGTGCTCACCAGAGCGACAGAAAGCAAGAAATCATTCCCCAGGAGGGATGGCCATGCCGCAATCCCTTCTCCATTCTCCTCTTGGGATTTTGGGCAGATACACACACACACACGTGGTGCGAGTTTTAAGCTGCTGGGCCCAGGATTCAAACTGCGGTTGACCATGTGAGAGTCTACTGATGTAACCATCACACCATCTGCTGGTCCCTCCATTGGAAGGTTTTAAACAGACATCTTTTTTTTTTTAATTGCCAGAGGGGTGTGTATGCTTGCCAGAGAGAGAGAGAGAGACAGAGACACAGACGGAGAGAAAGAGGGAGAAAGCACCCCCAACAGGGCAGGGTCATGCCACAGTCCTTTCTCCGTTTCCCTACCCAGTCAGGATGTGGGCCAGGCACACACCATGCCCAGCGCTTTCCAAGGACAGGTTTGGATGTGGACCATGGCCAACCCGGTGGGACCCAGCTCCCTCACCTGCTAAGCTGTGGAGCCAGCCCTCGTAAGCAGATGCTTTGATGACAGCTGGGTCTGGGGTAGAGAACAGGCCTTCTATTTGGGAAGGCGTCAAAGAAAAACCAGGAGACCCAGAGACGGAAGGCAGACAGTCATGGGGTGGGCAGTGGTGAAGCCGAGGGTCCCGGGAGAGGTCTCTCTGGGCAGCAGGAGTTAGGCAGGCCCTGTAGGCCAAGGAGAGCTGGGTCCCTAATGATGGGCCCTGGAGGACCAGGGAGGAATAGAAACCAGAGCACTTCTCCCGCGAGAGGGTCATTTCCCTTCCAGGGGACCACACCAGGATCTGGGAAGTTTCAGCTTCCTGATTCTGGGGCCATGTGTTATGGAATTTGGAGAAAGAAAGTGACAGTATTGGTGAGACGAACTCAGCCCCTTTCAGGGTCATCCTCAGCCCCTCCTCGGGGATGGGGATTTCAACCCCAGTTCAGAAGTGCAAGCGCTCCTCCACCCCTGCCCTAGAACGAAACTCTACTTCTCCATTCCCACCTGGCCCCCGGCTGGGCGTGCACTCTGAGAAGCCTGGGGCTCCTCTTTGCACCTCATAGGGCCTATGAGGTTGGGGTTCAGTGGCACGGAGGACTCCTGCCATAGACGTGCCAAACAGTAGCAGCTCGCCTGCAGCTGAGGGGTGGGAGCTGGGAGCTGAGGCCTTTTCCAGCACGTGGGGCTAGAGGCTTCTCAGTATCCTGCCACATGCCCAGGAAAACCCTGTTGTCACTTCCCACAGCCCCTCTTTCCCATCTGTCCTGTCCCTCTAGAACGAGTCCCCAAACTGCCATCTCCTCAGTACCTACTTCACCAGGGGCTTCGCATGGATCCTCTCTCTCGGGATTTATAGACTCGGCTGAAAGCAACACAGTACTCTTATTTTGCCAGGGAACAAAGGTCTACACAGTTCCTGAAATCCAAGTTGTCCGACACCCAGCGCAGCCGGGATCCCTAACAGCCCTTTGCCAGCAGCCTGAGCCTGGAGCAGTTTGGTGAGGGCTGAAAGGGATGGATGGATGGAAAACAGGCAATGAATGGGGAGGTTTGCGGCCGCTAGGTAAGGGGGACATCGAGGAACGGATCCAGTTATTACCCCGGCCGGGCTCCTAGGGGTCAGGCGGGAAGGGTAGGGGCC